ATACACATGTATTTACATGTTATAGTATATAAATTTCCATATTTCACTACATTGGTAATTATACATACGTATATATAAACATATATATATATTTGTGAATATACAAATAATTTTGTATCACTAATTTCTCTTCTTTACTGATATTATTGTAAATTTACACACACATATATATATTCACGTTGACTGAGTACTTAAGGTAAAAAATCGTCATGACGACATCAGTTTTTCGGTGCTCCTCATCTTAATTATTAATCTACATGGATGATTTTATAATGTACGATTTGTATCTATGGTATGCACCTGTGCTATGTATGCAATAACATAAAAATCGCTCGAGTACCTTTATCATAAAAAAAATCGAAATCTAGGGTCATCAAACAGGTGTTATAACTTCTAGAATATTCATAGAATGCCAAATTGTTCTTGTGTACAAACAGAACAAGGCCAAATAATGAATCGGTGCGTTTGTCCATAATTTCACATCACGATTCTTAGTCAAAAAGAGAAATTTGTCTTAAAAAATCAGCACTGATTTTATGAGAGGGAGCATGAAGTTGTGTTAACCAGAATTTTTATAATTATGGATGATAATTAATCTGCAACAACATAAAGTAATATCAACGAATTTATCTCAAAATTATGTTTATATTTGTGTGTAAGAAAAATCGAGAAAAAGGGCATATTTGTGTTTAACGATGAGTGTGAACATAAAGAATCAGTATTTATTTTCATATGAACTTCAGAAGCAGGGAGGAGGACAAGTCACGCTATGTTGATCTTAGGGGGGGAGGGGGGCTTATAAAGGATGGTAGACCCTACCTTCATGCATTTATAAGTACACACGCTTGGGAAGCATCAGAAATGCCTGATGTGCACTATATTTGCGTGTACATCTCCCTATGCTCAAGATATTCACAGATCACACACTATAGATAGCACACACTACACACACATATCACACACACACACACACACACACACACACACACACACACACACACACGTATATACACAAGGTGTTCAAAAGTTTTCAGAGTAGCAAGCTACCTAGGTTCAAGTAGGGGTTTACCCTGTGTCGGGCAACACCTGGCAGCCGAGCACCGACGGCGCAATACCTCAGATGTATTTTCAGCACATCTGAAATGTTTTTAAATGGTGCGTAAAAGTAATATTTGTATTTTATTTTTTTGTTCTGCTAAAGGTACCCGGCGATCGAAAGCGGACTTGAGGAGTACTTTTCAATATCTACCCTCCCCCTTCAGTTATATAGGGTCATTTCACTCATATGTAGTAAATTAGTCACATTTTTCTGTTTGTGTCTCATGAGCCATGATATGGAAAATTTTAATCTTCAAGTTATTAATTAGATTGGAATGAAATATTGGTTGCTGGTTTCTGTTGAAGGAGTACGTTTTCAGTTTTCAGTAAACTTATTTTATGCCAAAATATATTTTCACCAGTTAGATTGTATTTTCCCATTTACTTTTTTGCTATTTGTCATTGTCTTATCAAGGCTCCATTCCCTCAGTCTACTTTCACACTCAATTCATGACATTCAGATTTTTATTATTTTAACATTAGATGAATAACCATGTTTACCATATTTCCAATTTTAAGTCAGAATTATCCTTCAAATTGCCAAAACAGTTACAATTTAGTTTTGCATTATATTTTTGACTTCCTCAACTTTGCAAGTGAGGTTTTTCTTTAATGATTAATACAAAATTTTCACTTTATATTTTTTAAAAGTGCAAATTCAAGATACTTCATTCTGTGCAATATAAGCTTTTAAACCTCTTATATATGTCTCATCTGAAACATACAATATGTTTTTCTCACTGAACAGGTAAAAAACAGGCCATTTTATTTTAATGATTTTATTCCAATTTGTGAAGAAAAAGAAAAAGAAAAAGAAAAAAATGAGGATACATTTTTGAATAGTGAAGTGAAATGAGGGAAAGATTGACAGCTGGAGCTATGGGCCCTCTATGACTTCATTTAATAAAATTGAAACAATTAGAAAAAAAGGAATAAATACTTTCCCGGGATCTAGATATTGTAGATTCTACTTCAGTATTCAGTTTGGTAACCATCTATAAAGCTGAACTCTGTATAATGGAATAATACATGCTAAAAATACAATATTATACATACCTAATATGCCTTGCCTTTTGTAAATATGTTCCACTAGTATATTTCTCTGGTGGTGCTATTCAATGTGAATTTCAAACCCAGATTATTTCAAAAAACAATAATGCTCTACCTGCAGAGAAAGCAAACTTCATCCACAGCTCATATAGCAATTGCCTATTTTAAAATTTTATATACATTTACAACCATTCCTTCTTGATATATATATGATCCTAGCCCTACACTTTGAAACTGGCACACATATCACATTTCCCAAATACAATAGATACTAATGCCGTATCACGAGGCTGCTGATTCCTCTTGTCAGGCAACTGATGTATTGCTCATTTTTCGTCGTAACGTCAACACACACACACGTAACTTTACCCCACAATAGATACATTTAACTACAGACAGGGAGAGTTAAAATGCTTCCGCACTGTTTTAAATCTTTTGACAGCTAATATCAGGAACTCATTCTGGACATGCAAACCTATGATTACTATCACATCCCTACTCATCCTCTCAAGGTAGTTACAATTTTAGTAGGCTTATCACATATAGCAAGTTCTACAATGAAGAAAATGGAAGGGAAAAAAAAGAATGAACATATCACTTTCACTCTATATGCCACTGGTGATCTTGCCTAAGTGACTAATATGTAAAAAGATCTATGAAAAAAAAATACTGAATGTTTAATGATGGTACCTTTACATTAACTATATGAAGTTGCTTCTGAATTAAATATTACAAACTTAAAAGAACATGATGTCTGTGAGTTTGATTTATCCTTTTTCACAAGTTAGGTGAAAGAAGTGAGGAATGAATAGGGAAAGAAAAAGAGAACATAGAGAGAGAGAGAGAGAGAGAGAGAGAGAGAGAGAGAGAGAGAGAGAGAGAGAGAGAGAGAGAGAGAGAGAGAGAGAGAGAGAGAGAGAGAGAGAGAGAGAGTGAGAGTGAGAGTGAGAGTGAGAGTGAGAGTGAGAGAGAGAGAGAGAGAGAGAGAGAGAGAGAGAGAGAGAGAGAGAGAGAGAGAGAGAGAGAGAGAGAGAGAGAGAGAGAGAGAGAGAGAGAGAGAGAAATAGTGCATGTGTGTGTGAGTGCATGTGCATGCATGTGTTTGGGTTCTTTCAGATATAACCTCTGAAGTACACCAAATATATCAGTACAAAAATACATATTTAGATAAAATTTTGAATCAAGATTTAATAACTTGGAGTATATATAAACTTACATAATCAAGAATATATTAACAGTTGCCAATCATGCCTTAATCAAAGTATGTTTTAAGAGCTGATACTATTTCCATATGCATTTATATTCATAGATTACTTAGATGCACACAATGTTACTACTACAGGCACACTACAAAAAAAAAAAACTATTAATTTCTTGAAGTACAAATTTGAAAACTCTGTGCTTTATACCAATACAAAATAAGTTATATTAACAACAAAATAAAGGAGTAAGAAAAAAAATCCTAAATGATCATAGATGCCTACAAATGAATAAACACTGCCTGTCAGAATTTTTTATTCGCTGTCTCATACACAAACTTTTAACAGCTGTCTTTTCTTAAGCAACGTCAAACTCAATTCGCAAAGAAAAGTGACTTTTTGTGTAAGGTTAACGTTCCATTAGGGTTTGTTCAGCTGTAATACCTGTAATGCCATGATGCAATTTGACATTTGTTTGGCATGTATTTGAAGTTGTACTGAAGTTAAGAAGTTATATTAGTGCTTTGAAATACTGACTTTTTCTACAATGTAGCTAAACACCATCAGCATTAGTAGAAAAAAAGAAGAGAGAGAGGAAAACAAAGAATAAAAATACATCTAATAAATCCTTCAACAATTGCAAATTAATAAAGGAAATTTCCAATAGTATTAACACCATTTAATATGGTAATATAATAGTTCTTCCATTTCCTTTTTTTTAAAGCTAAATCTCTAATCAGCTTCATTACTGGCCAGTTACAAGAAATTGATCAGGTTTTTATTTAGTAAGAATATTAGTCAAATCTTAAGTCTGTTCCATCCAGTCATATGTGTGTGTGTGTGTGTGTGTGTGTTGTGTGTGTGTGTGTGTGTGTGTGTGTGTGTGTGTGTGTGTGTGTGTGTGTGTGTGTGTGTGTGTGTGTGTGTGTGTGTGTGTGTGTATGTGTGTGTGTGTGTGTGTGTACCTGTATGTGTACACGTGTATATGTGTACACGTGTATATGTGTACATGTGTATGAATATATGCGTATGTATATATATGTGTATAATATATATGTGTATAATATATATGTATAATATATATATATATATATATATATATATATATATATATATATATATATATATATATATATATATATATATATAATATATGTATATATATATATATATATATATATATATATATATATATATATATATATATATATATATATATATACACACACATATACATATACACTTATATATATATATATATATATATATATATATATATATATATATATATATATATATATATATATATATATATATATATATATATATGTATACATAGAGATATATGTATGTATATGAATATTTATATGTATGTAAATATATAAATATATGAATAAATAAATACATATAATACAATATATATATATATATATATATATATATATATATATATATATATATATATATATATATATATATATATATTTATATATATATATATCCATATATCTATCTATCTATCTCTATATATATGTATATAAATATATACATACATATATACATATACACATACACACACATGCACCTATACTGTTCACAATGACCAGAAAATCCACACAGCCTTTAATAGCACAAGAATGAAAAGATCTATCACTTATTGATAAAATTTACTGCACACCTTGTACAGACTTAAAACGAGCAACAGCAGCTAAAGATGCAGTTGCCAGCAAAGTAACGGAGAAATCAATTTACATTAATATGTGAAAAACTAATAGTCAGTGCATAGTTGTGAGACAAATAAAAGTGAATAATTGTAATGATAAAACCATAAAAAAGAGAAAGAAACTGTTGATGTTAAGAAAAAAATTATATGTTGAGATGCAAAATTATAATGGAAGAAAATGAAATAAAAGGTATATTTTTCTTTTTGTTTTTATACAAACCACCTCCATACTACTGCACACAGTTCTGGACAGACTTCAGATATACAAGATGTTCTTACACCTTTTATGCAATTTCTTGATCTCTTCCTCTAGTGACCCTTTTAAAAGTTCTAAGTGAATCCCAAGAGTTGCTCATCTCAGCCATATAACTAGCTACTTAACTAAATTAGCTTAGGCATAACTACCTCATGATTTGATAATTTTGTCTCTGCTGCTATTGCGATAACAATCTGATGAAGCTGTACCATGGAAATCTGTCCAGAACTGTACTTCTGTGGCTGGCTGCCGTGAGCAAAGGCTTCTCACAAGTAAACTCCGTCCTGAGTGCCTTGAGTGGTGTGCAAGCGTTGTGAAGTCATAGGTACCGATTCGGAGTAACAGATTGTCTATGTTTTTTTTTTCCATCACCTATTATTATCGTCATTATTTTTATTATAATTTTTCTTTTACTTTATCAAAATGGGACTATAACATATAAGCATGGTTACAGCAGTGCATGTGACTTTGGGTCTTTGTTTATTCAGCTGGTATTTTCTTACATTTTTTATTGTAGTCTTCTGATAAAAAGGCCACTAAAATATTTGAATAAAATATATAGGAATCCTAATTTTCTATATGAACATAACAGGAAAAAGAGTACCGTTTATGGAAAATAACAGTTATACTAATAAAAATATAATAATAATGTCAGTAATACTGTAGTCATACCAACAACAATAATAACAATGACAATGAGAAATGAAAATATCATAGCAATGATAATAATAGATGTAATAATGAAAATAATCAGAATTAAAATAACAATAACAATCACAGATATTACTTTAGTAATAATATAAACAATAATAATGATTAAGATTAATATAATAATAATAACCGTCATCATAATAACAATATGATTCTTACAATATTACCGAGAGTCAATCTGCCTAGTTATCATGAATAACTTTGGAAACAATAATAATGGTAATACTATAAAAACGAGAGAGAGAGAGACAAAAATTCTCTCACTGTTCACCAAAAGCACAAGAGAAAAACAGAACTGTCCCTTGCACCATCTGGCACAATCCATTCCCATGCTTTTATGTTTGAACTTCTAATAGGCTAAAATTTCAAGCCTAATGTTTCTAAATGATCTCCAGAAACCCCAAACTAGCTACAAGCATTCAAATATCTTCTTTCATCTAGGCCATAAGTGTTGGGATGGTCTTCCTGCAGTTCTAGCTTGAGCTCCTGTATATGTGGTGTTTTTGGACAAAATAAGCTGTTTCTTTATGATGTGAGTGTTTTGAAGCTTGTATTGCATGGGTATTCGTATTTTTTCATTCTTTCTTTTTTGCCAGAATACTCTGCCCTTGTAGCTTTTACATGAATAGTGAATAACAGAAACTATGATTGATAATGTTTTACATCATGAGCTAACAAAGTTTTTGTTGATACTGTTTATGTAAATAAAGAAATATTTTGTTCATCAGAGAGAGAGAGAGAAAAAATAAATTCCTTTTTCAGTTCAAAATTAATTCCACACTTGCAATTCATACATAAAAAGGAAAATAGGTTAAATGAATGTTCACATAACAGTGACCACTCACTTCCATTGTGGGCATTAAATAAAAATCTAAAAAGGATGCTTATTTATCTTTTTTTCTTTCTAGGGGGTTTATCCTAGAGAGAAATAATACCTACTGTCTGAATATGATAGGATAAGCAATCAGGTTACTGGATGTTTTGTTAAAAAGTGGGTATGTACCTAAATGGATGATGTACCCAAGCATATAAAACCATGCTATGTAGGATGACATCTCTAGCGATGACCAGACATCTGGTTATGGCATCTAAAGAAGTGACTAGATTCTTTGATGATCATAAACATAGCTCAGACTTGGAATCTGACACAGTTGTGATGACTTGTCTTGACATAACTTTGTGTGATGTGCATCGAGACAAGAGCTCCCAACGGTGGACTCCTCATCACTCACGACACGACTGGTTCAGGAAGATAACAATCAACAAGTAGGCTGATGGATAACCTTCACAGACTGTTTGTGATGGCGATTTGGTAAGGTTCATACGTAGCAACAGTAAGTATGGTACCATCGGCGGAAGGGTCACTCGACATGAATTGGTTCAATGTCCAAGCGGCCCTCAGCCTTTGCCTTGATGTAGGCTGCATATGCTGCCTTCTCTTTCCTTTCTTTCTTCTTATTGCGTACTTCATAGTCTAACCTGCAAGTGGGAAATACATATAAAGGCTCTATGGCATGTGATACATATATATTTTTTCTGAAAAGGATAGAAAATACTTGTAGGTTTAAAATTTCAAAACAAACAAAGAGAGAAACCTTTCTGATCCTATATTAACTAGCTTGAATCTAACAGATAATCAAAGAGCTATAAAAATCCATATACCCTACTGCTAACAACTAACAGGAGGGTACCCTACCTGTGCTCAATGATGCGCTCAACAATTCTCTGCGTTGTCATGTCATTGCCTGAGTCCAGGATCTTGAACTTGTTCCTTCTCTTGGGCTCTGCATAGGGGTCAGAATCATCTGCATCAGGCATGATCTCAGACATGCCATGACACACAAGGTCCACCTTCAGCTGGTCCATCAAGTCAGAGGTGACAGAATAGGGGGCCCCAATCACCACCTCACTCACATACTGTAATAAAGGGAATGATTAGATTCTGCGACAGCATACCAGATGACTTTACTATTTCAGTATAAGAAGAAGAAAAGGGAAGAAGAAGAAGAAGAAGGCATGACTGTAATTGCTTTCAAGCTAATTTTTTGAAAAACAACAAAACAGAGAAGATGACCAATTAGACACTTAGCTTTGCACATAGAAGCAACTCACCTTGCAAGCCAGTACAGACAGCACACGCTCGTGCAGATTCATAATAGGATAGTTAGCACCTTTGTAACGGTTGACAACTGGGTCTGTGTGGAGGCCAACTATCAGGAAGTCACCCTCTTGCCTTGCCTTCTCCAGGAAGTCAAGGTGACCCACATGGAAAAGGTCAAATGCACCTGCCACATACACAATCTTGTCTCCTGACTGGTGAAGAAAATGAAAAGGTAAGACATAAATGTTTTCCCTTAACAGGATATCTCAACTCAAATAAAATACATATCTGTCAATATTATCTTAGGATAAGCAAGAAAAACAGATGCCAAAATTTTACCTTCGGTGTCAGTCCCGAAGAGAACTGCATGATTTTCTGCGTGGTTGGTAGGAACTGTGTAACGCCTGTCCATGGGGAGCGAGCACTGGCATCTGTACCAAGGCTGTCTGAGTGATCACGCCCCACCAGGTACTCTGCCTCTCCAACCTGTATTGGATCAAGGCAGATGAAAACATGCTAATAAAGGGTTCTTAAAATCTCTATGGTGTTTTATGACACAAAAACACCAAAACTGAGATTAAAAATTGGTGCATGTTACTCCTGCTCTTCTTCTTTTCTTTGCTTATTTGAATTTCATCATAAAATATACCTTATCACAAAGATCTCACAATAATATCAAAATGCACTAAAGACTAAAGGTGCTGTCCTTCTCTCCCACTATGCAAGGCTACAGAGCCACTTAGCCTACCTGCTGGTGTTGTCTCGTCATGAGCAGCATCCGACCAACCAGGTCTGTCGTGCTAACTCCTTCAGTTCTGCGGCATTCCCTGACAGAAAGAAACTTTGGTAAAAGGGAGACATTTTCACATGCGCATTCCTATATAAACTACCATTTTAAGCAGCACAAAGAATATAATAAGACATAACCCAATGTGTAGATTTCTTACTTGTATCTCTTAGCTGCCTTCACTATGTGGTAGGTGTCTACACCATCTGCAGTCATGGTGATGTCATCTAGAATAAAAAAGAAAAAACATACTGCATCTTCAACTTGTGATAAAAAGAGCATTAATTATAATATGAACTGATGTAATTATCCTGAAAAAATGGCATTAATACAAGTTATGTATGCAATAACTACAGAATTAGTCAGCAACGCATGTAATACAAGGAAAAAGAGAGAGAAAGCATGAGAGAAAGAAAGAGAAAGACAGAGAAAGAGATAGAGGGAAAGGAGGGGGAGGGAGAAGAGGGGGAGGGAGAAGAGGGAGAGGAGGCAGTGGGAGGGGAGGGAGAGAGGGATAGAGACAGGGAGAGAAAGAGAAAGAAAGAAAAAGAGAAGGAGAGAGAGTGTGTGGAACTAGAACTATTCCTACAGATCTTACCTCCATGGACACAGAAATCACACTCGTATTTATCTAGTGTTTCCAGTGTGGTTACGTAAGGTGCTCCCTCCACCACTTCGTCCACCCACTTAATAGCCCTGACCATCTTGTACCTGAAACAAATAGCTTTATGATTACCTGTTCTGAAACTAAGAAAAGAAAAGAAAAGAAAAGAAAAGAAAAAAAAGGAGGAGGAAGACAAGAAAGCATAAGATGGAAAAAGAGCACAGAATAATAGGGAAATATTGAGGGGAAAAGAAGGCACAAAACACTCTCTTTCATGAGATAGAGGTATGTACAAAGACCATCCAATGACGTGTGTAATTTCGAAAGACTTTCACATGTTTCAGATTGCTGCATAGCATATATACAGCAGTGTTATTGACTTTAAAGGAAAATTAGAAAAGAAGTGTGAATAGGATAAGAAAATCCAATTCATTATTATTCTTTTATATATAATTTCTTATTAATGAAACAGCAGCTATGAAAACCTTAGACTTGGGGGCTGGGAATGTGGTAAAAGAAGGTCAATTTTGTATAATCTATGATCGGTGAAGTTATGAAAAAGAAAAATACACCATAAAAAGATATTCAAAACTTCAAAACTTTTGCAAACTTACTATACAATAACATTGTATTATCATTCATTAAAATCGTTTCATTAATAAACAATAAAACTGCATCTACAAAATTATTCTCTTCCTCACCCAAATAGCCGATGCAATCCCCCGATCTTACCTCTCCTCCTGGGTAAAGACGGGAGGCCCCTTGTGTTTGGTGATCTCTTCATCTGTGTGCACACCAACAATCAAGTAATCCCCCATTGCCTTAGCTTGCCGCAAGGAGTTAGCGTGTCCAAAGTGTACCATGTCATAGCTGGGGAAAGAATTACAAGTGGTTATTAACATCATCATCATTACTGACCAAGTGTTCAGCTTTCAAATTACGTGGTTCTCATCAGTTCAACTTCCAGCATATGATGAATATTCAACTTCTGACACATCTGCAATTTCTTGTGAAGTAATGAGGTATAATTTGATGAAATGATAGTTTAACTTTGGCCAAAAAATTAACAGGTGTTCCACTTGCCCTCAAAAATATATCTTGTATCTGTCATGATAATAAGAAAGGATTATACGCACTAAATAACCAAAAATTACAATGTGTTCTTCAAATATATTTGTGAGAATAGAACTCTTCATACCAGAAGCATTCCATACAACTAGCAATAAAATTGTTTAGGAGAAATGTAAATTGATGTCAATAATTTGGATGGATAGCAAATAATTTTATTTTTGAAAGCCCTAAAATAACATAGGTCAAGGAGACTATAAATAGGTTTGGTAAAAAGATATAAGCTAAGCACACATACAAGAGAAAGAAAGAGAGAGAGAGAGAGAGAGAGTAGTATCTAAATCCCTTTAGTGCTGTATTTAAGTCAATTTCATTCCTAAATACAGTGAATAGTAATTTATTTCCACCCTTAACCAACATTTAAAGTAAAGGCCATGGTTACTATTTGGTGTACTTAATCCAATTAACAAGGTACCAAAATTAAGAGCACAAAGTAACAAAATTATGAGCCCCTAGAACAGTGAAATGGGGCTGCCACACTAATCCTGTAAATGTTTTTCTACCAGAGGGCTAGAGATGATATCGGATTATTCATATAATGTTTTGTCTAGGAATTTGACAAGGTGAAGCTTGTTATATGTGTAAACTATACATGGTGTATGGGAAGTAGGAAATATTCCCGGATTGGCAGACTTTTCTACAGTAAATAGAACTGGCTAACAAGTTCCTTGGCTGTGGAAGTTATTTATGTACCTAGTGTAATAGAAACCAGGGGTGAGTCTGGCTGTCTTTCTTTTTATACCTCTAAGATAATGTATCTGTCTAGTAATTAGGCAAGACACTAGGTTCTGACCTTGCCTGATTAGAATGTTGTTGTGATGTACTTGTAAGGGACACAAAATCCTAGAGAGCTCAAGATAAATTATGTTATGATTAGTCTAGATCTATGGCTGGTTCTATGTTTTTTTAATGACAAATTTATGGTAAAAGGATTATATTGTGACTATAAAAATGGGGGCTAATGGAAGTAAGCGGCCAGGCAAGATGGAGATAACTGGGGAAAGCTTCTGGCACATAAAGAGAGAATGTTTATTGCAGCTGCACCCTTTTGAAAATGAGGTTATGTATATTTTTCTTGGAGAAGATATCATACATAATAATCTATTGTCAGACAATATTGCTATCTCATGCCATGTATTGTTCCTTGTAAACTGTGTCATCACTCTCCCACAGTCAGCAGGGATCAACCTCCCCTGTTAGTTATAACATTATCTCTTATACCACTGATCTAGGGCTCTCCAAGCTTCAGAGTTCAGCCAGATATGGTGTGAAAACGACTTTTGTCCCTATATTCTTACCCTTAATGTGGCCATGAAAATAAACACAATATCGTCAGATTTATAAAACTCATGAAGAGGGATAAGTGAAATGATAACTCTGAATGAGCCACTTTGTCTCAGTCAAGAGTTTAAGACTAAGTATCTGTCCACATCCAATTATGACAGGGGAGTCAGGCAAGCACACTCCTTGCAAATCATCTGAGGTTTTTCCCTGTGCCCTATATTTAGTTGTCATGTTGTATATAATATTAAAGTCCACCCAATTTCTGGGAGGCGGTGGAATGAGATATTCTGTAGTCTTCTGATTCACCAAGTTGTTTTTGAGAAAAAAGGATAACATAGTGTTAGACCAACAATTCCAATAAAAAGTAATAAAAACATTGTATATAAGTATTAAAAATCTAAACACATGTCAGCACAAGTATATAGAGCAAAGGGAGTTCGTTAAACAAGCAATTTCGTGGATAAGAAAACTCGAGAGTATGAGGCAAGAAGCCAGTTTTTCCTTTCCCAAGATTGAATATTACCAACACTCTTAACTTTGACCTCTTTCCCAACCTATCTAAATGTCTATGTACCTATCTATCTACCTATTCATTATATACATGTCCGGCTGTATAATTGGGACACCTGGGAATCATTTCTATGCACAATACAAGTGTCCTGGTAATCACACAGGTGAAACACACCTGCTGTTTGTAAACCGGTCTTTGTTGGCAATGCATAGATGTAGCATGAGGACTGTATATGTACATGTATGTGTAAGTGTGTTTACATACATACATACATACATGTATATATATATATATATATATATATATATATATATATATATATATATATATAATATATATATAATATATATGTATATATACATATTCATATAATATCTATATATCTATATCTATATCTATCTATATATATATATGGAAGTATGGATGTATAATATATATATATATATATATATATATATATATATATATATATATATATATATATGTATATATGTATATATATGTATATATACATATTCATATAATATATACATATCTATATATCTATATCTATATCTATATATATATATGGAAGTATATATAATATATATATATATATATAATATATATATATATATATATATATATATATATATATATGTATATATGTATATATTTATATATCTATATATTTATATATATATATATATATATATATATATATATATATATATATATATATATATATATATACATATATATATATATATATATATATATATATATATATATATATATATATATATATATATATATAATATATATATATATATATATATATATATATATATATATATATATATATATATATATATATATACACACACCACACACACACATACAAAAAAAAGGGTGCAGAGTTCATCACTAATAAAAAGAGATATTGATAGTTCCTTTCACAGTTTGAAAAATATATACTTATTCTAAAGATAAAAAAAAAAAAAAAAAAAAAAAAAAAAAAAAAAAGAGAAAGAAAAGAAAAAATCTTAAGAGGTATACAAATACCTTTGCACTATACGGCCATTAGTGGCGTGATGCAAGATTAGATTGCAGGGTCATTGACAGAATCCAGAAAAAAAATGTGTACTTAAATCATAAACTCTGATAAGATATTGATATTCTCACAAGGAAGCAGACACCACAAGGACTAGTGACACCTAATTATTTCATTCATATTCTTAAAAATTACAAGAACCAGAACAGTGATTGCAGTATGTGATTTAACATTATCAGGAGCAATGCAGAGGGTGTCTTGTGGACAGGTTACGTAAAGGCAATGCTAATCACAATCTGTTATACCAATATAAGATTTCTCAGTATCATAAACAGGGCATGACTGCACATTTTAAAAGCAGCAAGTTTATATTCTTTGTGTGTTTGCCATTACACTCAATTGGCCAGCTGTGGGGTTTATGTTTCCTGTCACCTGACATCTGAGAATGGTTTCTTGGGCACCAATGGAGTGACCTTTGAGAGGACATCATTGGGCTGTGCTTGGGGCATCCCCTGGCTTTATCCCTAAAGGATGATAGGTGTCGTATTCAGGTATGTGTGGTATGACAGAAGTTTTTTTTTTTTTTTTTACCAGGTGGGCATTTCCTTGTGTGTGCTTTTGCATGGGTGGATCCTTACCTATTCCTAATTTTGTATGGGCAGGCATTACCCAATATGTGAATTTGTGTGGGTGGGCATTTCCCTACATGTGTTTTGGTCCATCAGCCCAAAACTTCAAGCAGGGAAAGGTCTGCCTTTACAAAACCATGTATAGGGAAATGTCCTCCTAACAAAAAAGAGCAACAGGGGAAAAGTCTGGTAGGATGATTGTCTGCCTTCTATGTGGTACTCGTTATTAAAATGGCTAATGTCACTTTACCTATTGGTTTGATGGCTGTTTAGGCCTATTTATCTTAAGGGCACATGTTACTCTGAGGATCTATCATCTGTGTATTCATAAAAGTTTATAAATGATCAGTTATCCAATGAAAATTTCTATTGATTTATTAATATGCTCGCTCCCTTTTCAAATGCATACTGTACATGTTTTTACTTTTTTGGTTGCATGTTTCTCCTTTGCACTGTCTTTATTTTTATTTTTTTGGCCTAAAATTGAGATAACCTATGACAAGGATGACTCATCTTCCATAATCTCCTTCTTGATAAGAAAAGTCAAAAGCACATGATAAACTCTGTACCCAAATGGAAAGATAAGGAAAATAATTAATAATACTAATAAAAAAGGAGCAATGTACATGAAAAAAAATCAAATATGTTTATGTGTATATGTGCATATGTGCATGTATGGGAGCGTGTGCAAAGCAAAACAGATGAGTCCCTCTACCCATTTTCAAGTCTGAATCTTAAACAGTGACTGCTATAAGGTCGCACCAAAGCAACTACCCCAAACCTCTAATTTTACTGAACAGAGCAACACCACGTACAACTAAAGTCAGAGGAAGCTGCGCAGGAGAATTAAGATGGCTTCCTTTGCACACTTCCCTTCCTCCTGTTTGTGTCGCAACATGATTATTAATGCATGCTTCCTCTTTGTCCATTTAGTGGTGTTGCAGATACTGCTCTTTTTTACCCATATGACCAATAAGATAAATGTTATGATTTACATAATCGTTATATTTACTAAAACTAATATGGATAAGTGTTACTGTTATTGTTATCACTCTCATTTTTGTTGTTACTATCTTCCTTACTACTATCTATATAATCATTAACATTTTGCATTTAATCTGTATGCAATTCCCCTAAATATAGCAGCCAGCTATATTGACAAGTGCTGGAGCTAATACTTCTCTCAACACAGGCATGAAGCCCTATAGAGACTGACGTATTTGCAGTTTCCGAATAGTAGTAAACACATCTTCACAGCCTAAACTCTTTCATAAATCATTTCTTC